TCTCTCTCTCTCTCTCTCTCTCTCTCTCTCTCTCTCTCCTCTCTCTCTCTCTCTCTCTCGATACATATATGCGATTGTGTACACGTGGATGTCGCCTACGCACGCGGGTCGAAAGTCCCACGCAGAGATTGAGCGCACAATGTAGGAGAATGGCAAACGGAATGAATAAGAGCGTATAATTGAAAGAGTATTTCTCGTTTGATCGTAGTTGATCATTCACGAAGGATGAACAACCCTGAAAGTAGATAATATCCTTTACATCATCGTTTGTTGTATCTTGCGCTTTGTTTTAGTAATTGTCAAAAATATTGTCAAAAATATTGTATAACAATTGTCAGTTGTCATTTTTAATTTAACGTTCAAATTTTTTTATTATGAATTTGACATAAGAAATCTTTAATTTTTACGCCAAAATAAGTAAAAGTAACATAAAATTTTTGAATGTAATAATTAATAGGGAACGCATGTATATTAAATTTGAAAATGTCATGTTTTTCAGGCACGTATGCGCTGAATGCGACATAATTAAAATGCATCATAAAACATTCTTGCCTGAATAATTCACCGTTATTTTGCATTCACACCTAATATAACGATAATTATTTACAATTCGGTTGTTACGTCAAAAAACACGCTCACATTCTGCATCGTTCGTTTACACATTGCGTCACAATTGCGTTACGCTTTCGCTTGCTCATTATGAATATCACGCGTGCTTTTAAAATTAAGCGTTATTTAACAAAGCAAGGAAAGGGGATATTATATTATAGTTGCAAAATGTATTGTTTGTTTACAACTATTATATAAGAATAATAATGTAGTGTTATTAATGTCGACGTAACGTAATCTCGAACGAATTAGTTTACAATTCTTTTAATAACTACGTGGAACAAAACAAATATGTTTGAGTCGTTCAGAAAAATGCGCAAGTAACGCGTTATTATCACGCGTTATATCACTTTTCATATGATATAACGAACGATACAATATATAGGAACATTCCTGCGTTGACGATATACGCAACCGCGTAAAATGCCGAGTCGGAACGTCGTGTTGCTCGCTCGCTCGATCGATCGATCGATCATCAATGGGAACTGAATTTTCATCCCGAAATTGGCTAAACATTCGTGGTAACAATCGAGTTACGAGGGAGCGGTTCTGTGAATGGAACGTATAACCAGCATATCTACCGGAAGTCCGGCCTACGAGTTCCGGCCCGAAGCGCACTCATTGTCTCATTGTCTCTCTTTTATCCTCTTTTTTTTCCTCTCATCGCTACGTTCAGCAGCGAATGCCGTTGCCTGTCAGCCGAAAAAGAGACAGTCACGGCGAAAGGCGAAGGGTAAAAAGGCAGCTGATGTGTCGTAACTGGTTGATAATTAAAAGCTCGATGTGATGACTTTTCGTTTGTATCGTAATATGCAGTTCACGACAGCGGCTCTTTTATGGTAAACTTATGGAGCTTATTATTAATTATTTTATATTCTTCTTTGAGAAATTCGATAATATATCACGGATAAACTGTAGTAATTAAATCTCTTTCTGGACAAATATCGAATATTAAATTTACAAAATTTACAGACAAAAGTGATTCTATTTCTGAAATATCTCTATACGTAGCAGTTATCCACTTCATTGTCCACTTTATATTGGACAGCGTAAATTAGTAGATTCAATGATATCATGTTACGCTTAGAAATTGATAATTACTTGCTGATGATTATTCAAACTCTTTATTATAAACACGTTGATAATTTCTTTCTGCTTTCTGATCAATAAATCAATAGATTGTACGTTATTTATAGTTCACTTATCAGCTTATTATATAAACTGATGTGTCTTTTGCAGATCGACTACCCGGAAGTTCATGGCGGGGGAAGAATGCATCGACCACCGCATCCCCATCCCATAACCGATCACCGCCAGGTTAATCTGGTCTTCGATGACACGGTAAATATCTTTTACTTATTTATGATAGTCCAGTAGCTATGATCACTTATGTATTAATATTTCTTCTTTTACCCATTTGATCAAATAAATGTTGCTTCAGTCTTACATCGAAATTTAAAAACGTCTATTTCAAGGGAACTTTAACCAAAGTTGATGTAACGATTGTTTTCTTTTTCACAAATTATTATTCCATTGTCTTCTTAGCTTCACTTATCTTAAAATGAAAATATCTCTGTCTATTTATTTTTATCTAAATATCCAATCATAAAAGAGATATTGCATTTGAATTGCTACAACAAATTTCTTACTGTTTCAAAAACATTACGCATACGGTTTTTGAGAAATAACATATAATTATTTTCATCAAAATTGTCGAAACGATACAAATTACGACGATACTGCCTACATGTATACATACATAGAAGATTTATGAGACGAATAATTTTAATAATCGAGATTTCACCGGCGTGGCGTCGAGCGCGTGCGGCAGAGTACCTGCGGAGTCGTTCTTCCGGCGGGCAAGAAGTTGAATGGGTAAAGCAATTTGGAAAGTAGTGTGTGGTGCGCAGGACAAAAGGAAAAGTGAGATACACGAACGACATAACGGGTCGTATAAATCATCCGTCGGACAGTGGCCTTTGAGCGGTTACTATCCGTTGCTGGATGGATGCTTTGAGCGGACCAGCGGCAGTGCTACTCTCTATCCTATTCGCT